TCATCTCACAGAAAAGTGTATCATCAACAATATTGTCAATAACGGTTTTTAACGCTAGACCTTGCACTACATGAAGCTTTATCGATTACAAGTTTAAAAAGGAATATTTGTTTTTATTTATAGACCGTATTGTTGTAAAGGAAACTAACTTATCCAATGATGGGGGGATTGATAATTCCCCAGCTGTTCGTAAGTTTGGATCATGTAGCTGTCCTGTATGACACATGGCACATATCTATTCCATCATTAATGGTTAGATGAAGTTCTCTCGAAACAAACCTGTTCATACAAAATACGTTTATATATATTTTTGCAATATAATTTATCCGTAAAAAAAAATGTGCAACAATATTTATAGCAGAGGGATATATTGTATATCTTCAATGTGTTTTGATATCTTTCATTTCAAATCTATGAGCTGAAAGGTCGTATATGAAGTAGAAACGAATGTTTAAAATGGATTAAAAATATACCAAAGATTCAAGGTAATAAAGAAGTAAACTGATAAAATTTAGCCCGACAATGTGGGTTTTCTCCGGGTACTCCGATTTCCTCCCACATTAACACCCCCTATGCGCTAACATCCGGGATTAATGATTGATTAATATAAGTTATATAATTTGTTTCATAATTGTTGTAAAATAAATAAAGTTTATATTTTTTAAATATATCTATTCGAGTGAATCATTTCCAATTACAACCTTCAGCGGGAGCATCCTATTTCAGAATTCACGAGAATGAATATCAATCATAGCAGATCATAACGAATCGATTATTTTGTTTCTCACGAAACACGAAATGTTAAAAGATACGATGTTACGTCACACCATGTGACGTAATTTCATACTGTGTATTATGCGAAAAATAGACCATTGGTTCGATGTGAAGCTTACTTGTATTCATAATTATTTTCGAACTCGTCGTAGACAAAAGGCAAAACACTATTATTCGTTCCTTACACAATAAAATCATTTGACAAAATATGGCATCTCAGAAATAAAACAAATTGGTATTTAGATATCGAAAAGTTTAAAATAGCATCTAAGCAATTGCAAAAATTAGTCAACTTCTGTTTGCATTTAGTGACTGTAAAACATAATCAGCGAAATTTCAAATGTTAAAACAAACAATAATTCGCGCTATATATGTATAATATTTATTTGCAGTTTTCTCGCTATTGGGAACAAATTATTTATTTACCAAGTGCATTGGATGTAAATGAAGGTATCAGATATTTCATAAATGACAAGTTTCAAATTCAAAATACCATTGTTACTCAATTTAACATTACTTTGCGTTTTGAGAACCATCATCTAGGCTTTCAAAACCCTTTTTCCGAAACCAAAATAACCTGAATAAATAAGAAATCCGTCATCTGTCCTCTTTGTGCGTTTGCAATGGAGCAAATAGGTCTCTGATGTATGTGTGATATAAAAAGGTTAGGCAAAATGCTCAGACATACCCGTATTTTTACGCAAAAAATGTAAACAATCATTTGAATACCATGAATAACAAGCAGGATTGAAAATAAGATGGTTTTGAAAATAATGTTAGGTCCCTTTCAGTTAAACATACCTCGAAAATAAACCTCTTTGAAAAAATGCCAGCCTTAAAAAATGTGCATTGGATTCAAGGTATGAGCCGTATTAACCCTGTCAGCCTAAACAGGTCTAACAGGTAACGTTCACATAATATGATTCATGATTACAGCCATTTGATAAAGGAAAATATAGTTCCCGTACTGCATTGTTTCGTTATAAGCTTGTTAAAACTTATATATCAAAGATTAAATGAGACACACAATGAATCATAAGCGGCTACATTGTTCATCCGAGAAAAGGTGTTAATGAGAAGCAATGTATTTATTAAAACCTTTGTTACATAACACTTAGATTAACCGGTTTCTTCGACAGGACATTATAATATTTTATCTGTCTGTGGATTACGGGGATAATACGCTCTCACCTTATTTTTGTAAAAGAGATTGGTCCTTGAATAAGAATAAAATTGGTCCTCTCTCTGTACTGAGTCAGATATAACTTTAATTCTTCTATTAAAACGCTATTCAGTTGTATTTTTCACGTGGATTAGCAACGACACTACAATACCCATATACTGACCACGTTTAATACCGGTACCGGCCTAAGATGTTGAACATTCTTTAAAAGATTATATAACATTAAAATGAGCGCCGAGAAATAAGAGAAAGCGAAACAACGCCAATATTTCAGATAAACGTTATTACTGTTAAAAGTATTTGCTTATCTTTAAAATTATCAATCATAAACCGAGAAGATAAAATTCATTAAAAAATATGATTTAATATTAATTAAGCCATTTAAATGAAACAAGTGTTATAAAAAAAACTTTTAAACCATAAATAATTTACACTGAAATCCACCCGTAGAAGTTCGTAGCTGTTACTTTTACTGATTGACTAATGCCAGTGTAATGTGCTCCCCATGGCAAGATGAATGTCAACAATTCACTCACAACACTATTAATAACAGAAACAGTCATTACTAATATTCTAAAACGTCTAGCTCTTTTGTCAATTTTTAAAAAGGATAATCACCAGTTTAGATATAATTAGCAGTGAATGTATAATCAAGGTATATGAGCCCAGATATTGGATATTGATGTCTCCGTGTTGGAGGATGTTGGATCGTATGAGCGATAAAATGAACATGCAATACATTTGGTTTTCTCTTGTGTACACTAATTAGGAAATTGCATACCTGCAAAGTAATAAATGCTGGGCGACGTTTTAAAAAGATATAAAATATTTACAGTAACTCGTTCCAAACACAGTATTCCCGTTATAGCTCGGCTATCGTCGGCGATCATTTGGAATTCAACCTGATCAGAGCCAAGATAAGAGGTCTGCGCCAGAGCACGTCGATAATGGCAGTGTCGTGTATGACGAATATGTAAGTAGACGAGGTAAGGTTGGCAGGAGGTCACCCCTGACTTAATATAGACGAGGGCACAGTATAAGTGTAAACGAATGTAGACTAAATGATAAACTTCTGCATGGAGAACATTTCAAAGACCTGAATTAATCTGCTTCTGTCTTGTATGTTGATAATCAACCTCAATCTCTGCCTGTCTCTACTTCATTGCAATTATTACCTCCCGTCGTCATAAAATGTGTTTTGGACACGTAAAATTACAAACAAACAATTATGTAATGTAGATTTTGGATGTTATTATCACAATTGCAGATATATGATCATATCTTATTTTCAGCATCATTGTTACCATGTTGTACAGAACGTGTGGTAAAATTTGTTTAGATTTAGTTAGATTTGTTCAATGTTTCCCAATCATAAAGATATATTCAAATTGAAAAGATAACTTCGATTTCATACATTTCTAATAATATGTTAATAAATGTTCTATTTAAACGACTAAATATCCCTTTATCATTTTGGATATATTTGACTGTGCGTCATTCATTGCTAATATTGCGATACCATGGGACAGATTTGGTGACGCGTTTGAGATTATCTGAGTGATTCAGAGGAATTTAGAAAGTGACGGTTCGAATGTATTTCATCGTTCACAAATTGCAATATAGCGGCACCACAATCTGTTTATTTTTTCCTCTATACATTTCAAAATTTCTTCTGCAAAAGTACAAATGTTTGGACAATTTTTCAAGTGACGTAAGCTGAATAGAACAGCCCGATGTCATGTTATTGTCTTCCATGTCGTGTGGGACCTCTTAAATCCTTAATATGTGACAATTTTTGTACCTGTGATTAACAGAATCGACCACTCCCATGTGATATAGACGAAGAGTTATCAACTATAGGGTGAGCTATTTGAGGTTCAGCAAGTGTATGTATGTAGGATTAATAGAATCTTTCACCCCCTTGGGGGTGAGACAGGGTGATCTCAACCCTCGGGATATGATTCTTAAGCTGTCAAACACTCGGCAAGCCCGAGGGTTCAGATCACCCTGTCTCACCCCCAAAGGGGTGAATAATTATTTTTCTCTAACCCTGTTTACCCTCTGATGTATTTTGTATAGACGTTACATCAATGCAAGACAATGTTGATGTGATGCGGCTGAATTGTCGACGTGACGTCATTGTATTGTTGCCGTGACGTCATGGTACAAAGAACACGTGTAGCTTGTCTCAACCCTACGGTGAGATAAGAAAATCTCACACCGGTAAAATGGGTAAAATGTCCAGGGTATGAGAATAACAGAATATCTCATCCCGTTGGAGATGAGATAGGAGAATCTCAACCAAAGGGGAAGGGTTCTTAAGATGCAAAACACGAGGCATGCCGAGTGTTAAGCAACTAAAGATTTATTCCCCATGTGTTGAGGTTCTCCGATCTCATCTCCAAGGGTCAAACACTCTATTTACCATACCCTGTTGATCTTGTCATTTACACATTTCAATCCTGACATAACAAGTTGAATGTTTTGTTGGCGTGACGTCATACAATTCTTTCCCGGTGTGAGGTATGATTAAGGATATTCAAACCCTGGGGATGAAATATTGAGCATAACAGAGCTGACAGCAGAGTAAATGTAAACATTCTTATAGTCAGAATAAAATCTGTGTATCACTATTTTATCCCTTGGGTTTGAATGACCTTATCCATACCTCACTCCGGGAGAAGATTCTATTAATCTTACTCCTGGAGAAGCGTTGATACACCTGTCTAGAAAAAGAAAAAGCAGCATATCAAACACACTGGTTAGTCTGGAATAACTTATTATATCCTTTTCAGGGCGGAGATAGTGGGAACGGCCTCTGTAGGGTTTCTTTGAAAACAAACTGCCAACTTGGTTTGGATAGCATTTCCTTAATACTTTCTTGTGTGCAGGAACATGTCCACATAGTTCCCATACACGGATGGCCTGGCTTTCCGAAGGAACCCCATGGAGGACGTTTTAACTATTTCCACTGATCAAAAGGAATGTAAAGGGGATAGTAAGTTATTTCGGACTAACCTACAGGTATCGTCTAAGAACTCACCCCTCGGACGATGTTCCCACAGATATGCTGGTCAACGTGGAGCTCTTCAGTCCGGTAGTAATGGAGGATAGATATGAAAGCACCTGCATGGCGGTCAAAAAAGAACTCATCTCTCTCTTTATCCCAGGATTCGTCTGCCTCCTGCAAATGTGCTAAAAGGGCCAGGCGAGTCCCTGGTATTCGTTCTAGAGTTGAAATCCAGGACTCGAATAACTCTCCTCCAATGTTTAGTTTGACCCTTTTGTCTGATTTCTTGCTCTTTGAGGTTTCTCTGTCACGTTTAATAAATTCCATGATTCAGATAGTTTCGCACATCACCGCTGTGCGTACAATCCTGAGTGAAATATACTTCATATTGTAGTATTCTACGATCAAAGTCGTCATTTCTTTTAGTATTCTCGTTATCTTACCAATTGTTTTTTCTAATTACACACTTTTCATGGATGTACAAAGGTTTTCCATGTATTCATCTTGAACAATATGTCACTGTGATATACGATACCGCTACCACTTCTTTCATGTTTCACGGGAAACAGTTTCATAGCGAAATATAATCCTTATACGTCTATTTGATAACCGATAATATTTCCATCTACAATGAAAATAAAAATGAATTAACGCAAATACGGAATATATGTTGAACGAACATCGTCTATATAATACTAATAGATTTACTCTATGACAAAAACATAATACGTTACATTGTCTAGTATGTTTGTACGTAATGTATTAAGAGGTTAGAGTTCTAATAATTAAGGATCCTTGTCCCTCTATACTGTTTTTTCCTATATATACAGTAACCTCCCCTTAAGGATCCCTGTCACACTTCACTGTAGTTTTACCTATATACAGTAACCTCCCCTTACGGATCCCTGTCATACTTCATTGTAGTTTTACCTACATTTTTTTGTATATACAGTAACCTCCCCTTACGGATCCCTGTCTTACTTCACTGTAGTTTTACCTACATTTTTTTCTATATACAGTAACCTCCCCTTACGGATCCCTGTCTTACTTCACTGTAGTTTTACCTACATTTTTTTGTATATACAGTAACCTCCCCTTACGGATCCCTGTCTTACTTCACTGTAGTTTTACCTACATTTTTTTGTATATACAGTAACCTCCCCTTACGGATCCCTGTCATAGTTCACTGTAGTTTTACCTATATACAGTAACCTCCCCTTACGGTTCCCTGTCATACTTCACTGTAGTTTTACCTACATTTTTTTGTATATACAGTAACCTCCCCTTACGGATCCCTGTCACACTACACACTGTAGTTTTACCGATATACATGTACAGTAACCTCCCCTTAACTTCCTGAAGGATCCCTGTCCCACTAAACTGTGGTTTTACCTATTTCCAGTAACCTCCCCTTAACTTCCTGAAGGATCCCTGTCCCACTAAACTGTGGTTTTACCTATTTCCAGTAACCTCCCCTTAACTTCCTGAAGGATCCCTGTCCCACTAAACTGTGGTTTTACCTATTTCCAGTAACCTCCCCTTAACTTCCTGAAGGATCCCTGTCCCACTAAACTGTGGTTTTACCTATTTCCAGTAACCTCCCCTTAACTTCCTGAAGGATCCCTGTCCCACTACACTGTGGTTTTACCTATATACAGTAACCTCCCCTTACGGTTCCCTGTCATACTTCACTGTAGTTTTACCTATATACAGTAACCTCCCCTTAAGGATCCCTGACCCACTACACTGTTTTTTCCTATATATACAGTAACCTCCCCTTAAGGATCCCTATCACACTACACACTGTAGTTTTACCGATATACATGTACAGTAACCTCCCCTTAACTTCCTGAAGGATCCCTGTCCCACTAAACTGTGGTTTTACCTATTTCCAGTAACCTCCCCTTAACTTCCTGAAGGATCCCTGTCCCACTACACTGTGGTTTTACCTATATACAGTAACCTCCCCTTACGGATCCCTGTCATACTTCACTGTAGTTTTACCTACATTTTTTTGTATATACAGTAACCTCCCCTTACGGATCCCTGTCATACTTCACTCTAGTTTTACCTATATACAGTAATCTCCCCTTAAGGATCCCTGTCCCACTACACTGTGGTTTTACCTATATACAGTAACCTCCCCTTACGGATCCCTGTCACACTACACACTGTAGTTTTACCGATATACATGTACAGTAACCTCCCCTTAACTTCCTGAAGGATCCCTGTCCCACTAAACTGTGGTTTTACCTATTTCCAGTAACCTCCCCTTAACTTCCTGAAGGATCCCTGTCCCACTACACTGTGGTTTTACCTATATACAGTAACCTCCCCTTAAGGATCCCTATCACACTACACACTGTAGTTTTACCGATATACATGTACAGTAACCTCCCCTTAACTTCCTGAAGGATCCCTGTCCCACTACACTGTGGTTTTACCTATATACAGTAGCCTCCCCTTAACTTCCTTCAGGATCCGTGTCCCACTGCACTGTGGTTTTACCTATATACAGAAACCTCCCCTTAAGGATCCCTGTCCCACTACACTGTGTTTTTTTCCTATATATACAGTAACCTCCCCTTAGTATCGTCTTAGATACACTTCCGTTGACAGGATAGCTCAGACGATTAGAGCGGCAGTATAACAAACTGAAGTTCAGGGTTCGAATCCCGGTCTGGCCTCGCTTAACGTTTTACACTCAGAACACTATTGTTAATTGTATTTTGTTTATTTCATCTTTATCATTTTTCATAAAACTCCTGCAAGGTATGGTTTTCATTTCAGAAATGATTCATCAAAGGTTAGTCATGCTTAAGAACAGTTTCCTATGCGTAGTTGTAGCGTTTGACAGTGGTACGAGGATCCTTAAAACACAGCGTGTATAAGAAACAATACATGTACTCAATAAATAAAATTTGAAAATATTGTAATATAATGACTTCATGTACATCGTCTATAAAATCTACTAGATATACTTTATATACAGTGTCTATAAAATACGTATACTGTACCTGTATAAAATTACTCCAGTTTAGCTATACATTTGTATATGTAAATGCGTTCCATCCGAGGTGTTGAAACGCCAAACAAATATATTTAATTGCGCAGTACCTCTACTTATCGTTTTATCAAGATTAACAACCATTCACTCCTTCGGGTATTTCCACTAGAATAAACTCTTTTCTCAACAATAAGCGTCGTTAAAGTAGTGTAAATGTAACCGGCTCAGCACACAGACACAGTAATTATAGTCCCTCGCGGCTTTCTCTACAGCAATCAACATGCTTAGCACCTGGATTCGTTTTTACTTATTAAAACAATCACCAATGGAAGTGCCGACAGACAAGTGACACGAAATGGTAATCCCACAAGTAGATTACGAAGCTAGGGACACAAACGTCGGCTTAGTCAGACTTACTGCTGTTTTGACTACCGAAATAATATTTGGCCATCCATCCGCACTCTCACTCTCCTGTCTCTTTGTTCCGCAATACTAGCCAGGTATGCTACTGTGGCCGATGAATAATTCATTGTCTCCTTTGACAATTCGTATACATTCCATATGGAGTTGTTCATTTCATCCATTAGCCGATAAATGGGCCTAGTTTTTCGACATCATTGAGTCTGTTTGAAAATAAAACAGCTCCGATTTCTTATTTGAATTGTTTGCGTTGCCAAGCCATAATGCCAACACAATTGATACAATTGATTTGTTTCAAAATTATATATATCCCTGCTTTTAATTAACCAAAATTGAGTATATGCTGACAACGAAAGGACAGCGATTATCAGAAAAAAAATCTTTTAACATTTTTATAATTCCGTCATTTATTTTGGAACAAGTCATAACAATTAACTGTTAAAACATTGGTCGTTTGTTATATTCAGCTCATAAAATAAATAACAACCAAAATAGCCTAACGTTTGTATGCAAATGAGTAATGATACATATTTGTGTAGGATGTGCTACCTACAAGGCTGTATCGATCCCAGATAAGATATATTTAGGTACATTTACTAAAAAAGACATATCGAAAAGCAATTATTTACTATGAATAGTACATTATCGATAATAGATTCTACCCTATACACAGATAGGATCATTCATAAAGACGGCTACGTACACGTTTGTACTAAGCATACTTGGGTGAAATGGGGGAGGTCTGTTGTTTAAATCCACCCTAGTGTGGCGCGCATGTTAATAAATGCTGAGGATAAACCAAACACTGTTTACTATACAACAGACTATCGCTCGATAAAATAGATTGGATTCAATCGACTTTTTCTATTTCTGTATGAGGATATTTATTTTAGCAGCAAGTGACATCAGATACATTATTTCTGCATATAGTACCATGTGTTCGGTACATCGTAACTAACACACCGGTCTGTTCTGGTTTATGATAAAACGAAATCACCGGATTTTTGTCTTTATATGCTATACTCTTTAAAGGAGACGATTTTGAACCCCGGGACATGAATATCGTATTTTCAGTTAATTAATCAGGAAAATATATCGCCATTTTAATTTTTACCTTGATGTATTTTGATCGTATCACGATTGATAAATTTTAATTAAAGTTCCAATGTAATTTTCCATATATACTTGTATCATAGTGGGCGATTGTCTCCTTGTTATGTGGTGGAATATGCAGTTGTTCATGTTTCTTGAAGAAGTGGCGGATTAACTCGAAAACTGGCCTTCTTTGTCTGTCCTGTCGATATTACTTATTTGCTTACGAATAATCATGAAAATTAAGACGTAGATGTTTTGGGATTTTAATTTGATAAAAAAGAGGAAATATGAAAAATGCTGCTTTAAAATTGAATTAGAAAAGGGCATTTAAATGTTTGAAAATAATCATGAAGATGACAAATATTTTTGAACTAAGAATTGCTCGTTAATTAAAAATGTCTTTTTACTATTATTGCCGACTTGCAGCATCATGCTGACAGCCTTCCGGACGGACGTGGAGGCATTTTATTGAAGTTCTCACCTGATCATTATATTCTCCCTAGTTGTCAATAAGTCATAATCGCATTAGAAGATTTTAACTGGGTAACTGTGAAAATCACAATAAGTGATCGTTAACGGTGACGCCATGATGAAAAGACATGATTCCATGGTGACGTCATAATCAAACGTTAATCGACACTATTGTGGAGATAGTTCCTGTCAATTCAGTAACACCTTTGTCAGTTGGAAATTTATAAAATATACTTTTTCTTAATTGTCAAGACATTCGATATATAAAGCCGTCTTAGAGAAGGACGAAACAGCTTTGTGGTGAAGTGTAATTAACTTTTGACATACCGTATCAGTTACCAAATGTTAAAGGTACAATCACGTGTGTTTGTCTTGCGTTCATCTTTAATAAACAAAATTATATGACGTCACTCGATCTACCGGAAATACAGGTGCTTTTACACGTGCCCCAAAACTAGAACTAGTTCAGCATAACTATTTTATATAGATATTGGCCATCCTTATACTAACACTAATTATTAAACAATTTAATACCAATATTCAAATCCTATTCGTTAATGTCAACCAATATTTTCAAAGCAAGTGGTCAATCGTCTTGCTGTTCCGGTAGGCATACAATTTGGAACAGCCTATCGTTTGACGACCACTCCCTCCACAAATGGATCGGAGGGTTACAAAACAAAGCAAGAAGTATATTATCAACTTCAGTATGTCTTTGAATACGTTAAAAGATATTTTCAATAAAAATATCACAACTGTTTGATATGGAAAGGGTTTACTTTTGTAGTCACACATTTGAAAATGCAATAGAAGAAACCGCGGAGTGATATCTTATTGAGTGTGTGATTTGGCCTCCATTGGGAACCATGGTTACGAGATGATAACATTAAGTTGATGTTACAAGGATGTTTGAGTGAAGCTGAATGTTGACTGTAAATATAACGCTATACACAATACATCAGGCGATCGTTACACTAACACATTAAAACCTTCATACAATTACACTCACACCAGTACCAAAAACAGTTGCATAATTACACTATAGTACTCTTATACGAATACATTTACACCTCAGGAATATTACACCATTACAGTCATGCCACACTCCATATCACACCTATACAGTTACACCAGAACTTTTACACCGAACATTATTACACTATAGTACTCTTACACCGATACATTTACACCTCAGGAATATTACACATATACAGTCATGCCACAGTCCATATCACACCTATACAGTTACACCAGAACTTTTACACAGAACATTATTACACTATAGTACTCTTACACCGATACATTTACACCTCAGGAATATTACACATATACAGTCATGCCACAGTCCATATCACACCTATACAGTTACACCAGAACTTTTACACAGAACATTATTACACTATAGTACTCTTACACCGATACATTTACACCTCAGGAATATTACACATATACAGTCATGCCACAGTCCATATCACACCTATACAGTTACACCAGAACTTTTACACAGAACATTATTACACTATAGTACTCTTACACCGATACATTTACACCTCAGGAATATTACACATATACAGTCATGCCACAGTCCATATCACACCTATACAGTTACACCAGAACTTTTACACAGAACATTATTACACTATAGTACTCTTACACCGATACATTTACACCTCAGGAATATTACACATATACAGTCATGCCACAGTCCATATCACACCTATACAGTTACACCAGAACTTTTACACAGAACATTATTACACTATAGTACTCTTACACCGATACATTTACACCTCAGGAATATTACACATATACAGTCATGCCACAGTCCATATCACACCTATACAGTTACACCAGAACTTTTACACAGAACATTATTACACTATAGTACTCTTACACCGATACATTTACACCTCAGGAATATTACACATATACAGTCATGCCACAGTCCATATCACACCTATACAGTTACACCAGAACTTTTACACAGAACATTATTACACTATAGTACTCTTACACCGATACATTTACACCTGACCCACCTCAAACATGCTGCTGAACACCAGAATTCTACTAACCTTTCATACTGTAAAGGATTGTTTGCCAATGAGGTCTACTTTTTTAAGTGTGACATGTATTTTGTCAATAATTAGATATAAGGGGACAGTGTGCCTTATTTAAATAAACTGAATAAAGTATTGACGACAGCGTTACAGCACGAAGACAAATTCTATGTTCAAAATCTACGCGAAGAGACGACGACAACAGGCACTAATACAGTGCCAAAATAAAACGGAACACAACAAATCCTAAAGAGGATATGGACGCGAAATTAAACATCCTGAAGTGTAAACTGTGGCTCTGGAAGGACAGGCACTTCTTACTTCATATGTGGTCACTCGTCATAATAGCTTTCTTTAAATCCGGGAACGTTACGCTCGATTTTATATTATGCAATTACGTTATTATAAAATCAGGACAGGTATCTACAGTAGAAATCTAAATACGATATCAGTCAGACCCGTACCAATTAATTAGAGTCTTCAAATAGGATTTAACGACTCTGACCGATTGTGTCACCACACTATTCATTTAATAAAACAGTTTTACTGTACATTGAAAGGTGAATAGACTTACTAACAAATAAAGCAAAATAATGTACATATGTCTTCACATGAACGACATCAAACGATTTAACCCGGAACAAATAACTCAAGACACGCTTTTGTTAATATTTCCAGTTTCGCATAAGTAAGAGTACCTCTGCACAGAGAAAATATATACATATACCATACCTTTGAATGATGAAACGACAAGAAGTGGGATAACGAACTCCAACATAATCCATCCTTGAATTTCATTATTATGTTATGTGTTATGATGAAACTAATATGATGTCATATTTTCTCTCCCGAAATATTCTGGTTCACTGGTAAAAGTACTGTTTCGGTACCGTCCTAAGCTGGTAAACTCGCACTAAAGCGTAACCTCCCATACAGGTAATTTGGCGCTATACAGGTGCCTTCCTCTCCAGGTAAACTAGTACCAAACCGGTATCGTCCCAAACAGGTATTTTGGCGCTATACAGGTGCCTTCCTCTCCAGGTAAACTAGCACTAAACCGGTATCGTCCCATTCAGGTAATATTGCACTATACCTGTAATGTCCTATCCAGGTAAACTGACACTGAAGCGGTACCGTCCTATTCAGGTAACTTGGCGCTATGCAGGTAACATCCTATTGTGGTAAACTGGTACTATACTTGTATTGTCCTATCGGAGTGGAATTGAAATGTCCTATTTGACGATAGTGACCTATCAAGGTAAACTAATCACGAGTAAGGTCGTTAAATCCCACCTGTGTGTACCTTGTCGTCACGTCCCGGCCTGGAGACGGAGACAACCACACAAGTCCCTTCTGTGTCGACATCCCCGTTAGCTGCTATCAATTAAAGCTGTGATCGTTGGTCAATGAAATGCACGGTATTGGGCTTCGTAGCCTGCTGGCACAACGAGGTACGAACAGCAATTTTGATTTATAAATACTGTGTGTTGGTACAGTGAATTTGGTATAACATATTGTGCAATCTGCTGAAAAGAGAACCAATTTGGTACCTGTCAATATATTAAATGGACTCGGGTTGAGATTAATTCAAGGTGATAGACTTGGTCAAACGAATAGTCTGTGTGTGCTGATATATGCAGGTGAATGATATCGGCTTTTGTTGATTTTAACGTCACCTGTTTCTTTATAACTGGAGTTAAGACTTTAATTCACATTTTTTCTGTTGTATTTTTCTTTTAATTAAGCATTTTAAATGTTTAACGCTTTCTGCAATGAAATTTATAGAATTTGTATGTTTGTCAGAGAGTTACATAATATATATATAATTATATTCCACTTTAGGATAGGGATTGGACTCATGTTTGTTTTTTCCCTCATTTCCTGAGTATTTAATTAAAAAGCATTATACAAAAAATGATTTGGTTAATATCAAAGGCCAAGATAAATATATATAGTATTTGAATTCTCGATCATTTTTATGTACTACATTTATAAATTATTATCTTATTTGTTCAATTTAAAACTGTTTTATGTTGGTGATTATAGGTTGATGCACGGTAGTAGGGCACCAAACACTCGAGAGGAGGTACCCTCCCTGTCTGATGCTGTGAATAACTTAAATCTTATTGTGTCGTTATAGGCTGTAATTAGACTCATGACGAAACAATTTATTATCTACATTAAAAAAAAAAAAAAAATACGTATGAGCTCCGAGTTTCAATTGATAAAAAACCTATTTCATATTGGATTACGGCACGGGATTATATCTAAGTTCGTGATTACGGTAAGAATATCTTTAAACTTTATTGATTTTACAACAATTATGAATAAGTTATTGCAACTTGTACTAATCACTCTTGTTAGCCTGGATGGAAGCGCGCGGGGGGTCATAATGTGGGACAAAACCGGAGTACCCGGAGAAAAAACCCAGGTAGTCGGACAGGTGACCCAATACCTGTTCATGTCCGATTGGAGAATCGAAAAGCATTTTCGCGTTTATGGAAAGTGCCGACGGTTCCCAGCAAATATTAATACCATGAATATACAAAGATAACAGAAAACACATGTCCCTTTACTGAAGAATAATGAAGACAAAACAACCGTTTTAAAACATGTTTAAATTTGTATCTCACGTAATTTGATAAAATATTTTATTAAATAAGTATCATCACCCAAATACGAATCCAGCCTCGTGAGTGTAATATTTTGAACCTGGCAATATTGCGTGAAATTTAATCCCGCAAAAATCTTCTGATCGAAACAATCGCGAAATTAAACAATTATACAGTAGTTCATACAGTAGTTACATCAGAAAGCTGAATTTTCATATTTCACATCTAGAGTTTACGTCCTTCAGCATGTAATTGTAACGATTTAATTTATTCCTGTGATCCGAACATTCTGCTCGATCCAGGAACGCCATTTAGACATTGCTTCTACAAAGTATTTTATCAACACGCAATCTCAAATCAGAAAGATACTATTAAGAGTTGGGAAATTACGACTTTTTATCTGTTTCTATTTGTGTATTTTATGTATTTTTTGTGTAAAACATAACGGTTCGAAACGGCAACATGTTTTCAGTTAGTTCGGTCAGTTGGCTAACCATTGCACAATAATGTCAACTGCATTTTAGCAATATATCAAATGACGTCATACAAAAGAAAGATTAACCGGCCTTACCCAATAGAATAAAACCATATCTGCACTAGGGTTAAGATAATTATGTACATTGTTGAAATTATCGCTTGTAACGACATCTTGATTACTGCTTGCGAAACAATTCAGAAGAGATGAAGATATTACGTTTGGGTGGTCGCTAACGTTTTCAAAAATAAGTGCCTTTCATATTGACTTTCAGAAAAAAATGCCTTATCGGTTTTGGACAAATAACGGCATGCTGTTGTAACTCCATAGTGACAGGTTCTCCTTCCTAGTGAATCGATATAAACAGGGAACGTTTATGTAACTTTGTGACAGTTGAATGATCATTACGTCTCATTACCTCATAACAGGTCATTCGGGACAAGTAGATATTATGTTGATATTCTACTTAGATAAAATATAACTCAATCGGGAACCGTCGGCACTTTCCGTATTTTCTCTCGTAGATTGCCGACGGTTACCGATTGATTTTAACAATGATTTTTATGGGAGTTGTTTCCCTTGCTGAGTTTCATTAACAGTCTCGAGCTCGACGGTATCAATGTAGATTGTAAAACATTTTGTGTACTCTTAAATCTCGCTAGCTGTAATTCGTGCTTCACTGAACGGATTTATCTTACGTCATATAAAAAAAATAATTATCATTTATGTTCCGTTATATTGGAATTTGCAATCTATGTTTAACGCAATTTTACTCGAAACTACATGACTGTCTAAAACCTTTATGGAAATTAGCCTTGCGTCACCCAAATTTTCTTGACAATATCGGATATATAATGAAATTGATTGTATCGATACGTGTAAGTAACAAACAACTTTTATGTCATCATTGTGGCTATTTCTACACAGATTTTGTATCTCATGTGATTCTGCATTTTTCTGTAACAGAAAATCTTCGTGACAATTTATGGTGTATAATTGCCTGCATTTCAAGTATTGAACTCAGTTCTATCTGCATTCACTGCCAGACTATTCAGTTATTCACATTTTACTAGGAGGCCCAATGACCTATAATTTAAATGAAATTGATTTAGAAGAATTTAGACTAGAATCCGTGTATGCGATAAAAAGAATGTTTGACTTATATACGTAATAATAATTATTACAATAATGTCTTACAAATACTTGTCTTTTTAATATAAGGAAAATGTAAAAAAAATCAATAAAAAAAATCAAAAAAAAAATCGAACATAGGCATGGTATTATCAGGGAGTACACATCCCTGCTATTATTAATATCAATATATTTATTTATTTATTTACTGGCTACATAAACCAGTATTATATCACTGATATTTTACAATATGTATATACGTTTGTGAACGTGTATGAACGTCACGATTGTTGTCATTTTGTAAATAATGTATTATTCATGTACTATCATTGTATCATGCTCTCCAATTTGGAGGAAATAAAGATGATATGTTCTCTTTATGAAAGGATCCTCGTACCACTAAAAAAAATCACGGCATGACTTTGGCTATTATATATCATTTCTGAAAAGAATACCATTTCTTGTGCGAGTCTTACGAAAGATACAATAAGATGAAATAAAAAAAGAAAGGAATCAACAAGAGTGTACAAATGTAACAGGACAAGACCAGGATTCAAACCCTGGTCCTCTGATTATAATACTACTGCTCTTACCATTCGAGCTGGCTGAGCAACGGTCGGTACTGTCTGTTCGAAAAACTTAAGTGGAACAAGTACTAGTTGTAATGTGGAACCATTACAAAAGTCCCACAAACTGTCCCATTGTCACAAAGATGCAAAAACACACCTACATACCAAATTTGAGCAAAATCGAGCAATATTTAGTTATGACCAATCAGAGGCCGTGGCGGCCATCTTGGTTGACCGATCGGAAAATGAAAGGTCATTTGCACACACCCTTACCATGTTTTTTTAAGGAATGTGTCGGACAATTTTAAGGTGGAAGAAGAAGAAGAAGAAGAAGAAGAAGAAGAAGAAGAAGAAGAAGAAGAAGAAAAAGAAGAAGAAGAAGAAAAAGAAGAAGAAGCCTGCAGTGGGGTAGGGATCCTTAATATTCGATAAAGCGCGACATGGTACGTGTACGTTTTGGATCGATACTCTTGTCGTTGTAGAAGTAAACTGTCAATATTTTCATTGTCTGTTGCTAAGCTTAAGTTCTAAATAGGCTTCCGTATTGTAATCAGGTATTAGAATCTGCACTTTATAACAGATAGACTTTTTTAAGTAAAAAAAAGTAAACGGATAACATTTGGGCCTGTGTATTTCGAAACCATTAGATTAAAGTACAAAATATACAAATTCTGGGATTCAAAATAGCAACCTTCAGACAAGACTCACAAAAAGTTACTAATATTGTACATATAATGTTAAAAAAAATGTTTGTTTTTTTAACTTTTGCCTGACTTATCATCAATGTAATGAACCTAGCTACAAATGGAACCAGACTTTAAAGTACACAGTTCCAGTTTTAATGGTCAATAAAATCAGAATAGGATTTTCATGCTATAATTTACAAATGTAAACACCGTCTCAGACACAATCGATAATTTCGTTAATGCGTTTTATTTTGATCAAACAAGTATCTGTTGACACAACTACTGCTGAAGTGGATGGGCTTACACAGCTAATAACGCCAAGCTTCCGTATTGCTTCCCTTCTGTTCAAAGTCGGATCGCTTCAAACCATCTAAATGAAACGGGAAAAAACGGAACATTGCGAAATACTTTCAGGTGTCAGAGACAAAGTCGCTTATTTCCGGCCATTAACTAGCAAGTTTGCTAATTACAAATTAAAAGGTTTGAATAGATTCAAATCAATGACTATATAATAGTTCTGTACTTTGCTGTTGCCTCGCCAAAATAGTTGTTTAGTGGTCGACCCGAGGGGGTGCGGGGGAGCGCTCTTTGAACTCTACACCGGTCGATAATTAGCATCATAGCCGAAAAGTACAATATTGTTGTTATCATTATCATTTTTTATAAATGAACAATACATAATTAACTCGGCGGGGTCTTCCTGCCAAACTCGTTACCGCGACATTGTAGCTATCTTACAGATGAAAACAATACAAAACAAGTCGATGAGTGTCTTTACACACAAAACTGTAATCACAAACGCAAAGGAGACCAGTATTAGATGTTCTGTTTGATGAAACTTTCGGCTACGCCTACAACGGGTGAACACAGCATAGTCAATGCTACAACCATTCTTTTGATTTACTTATTTATTTTTAAAT